AAACACCCCACTGAGTTCCCCCCTCAGAGCTCAGAGCGCGCACTGCACAGGCGCAGAACGCAGCTCGGTGCTGGAGAAGCTGAAGGGCACTAGGGCAGCCGAACCGACCGACGCACCGACACTTCTCCAGCGGACAGCCGCCGCTGCAGCCTCCGGAGTCCCGCTCCAGAACAGGCGCTTTTAAAGCCACGTGCAGCCGCCGTGGGAAGGGGAACACCCCGCTGTTTGCAGGCCGGAGACAGAGCTGCGCCGCGCCGCGCCGCGCAGGGATGGATTTAAGCAGATGATAGCCGAACCGTGAGGTACAGTAGAGACACGTACGCAGGCTGCAGACTGTAAATTGATTATCAACTGATTATCTGCTTGCTTGTAAACAGCGCTGTCTGTTTGAGGCGGGTGTGTGAGGGAAGAAGGTTTGAGAGGACAGGAGGGCTTTAAAATGCGAGGTGTCATCCTCTGTGAGGGAAATCAGCTGCGGTAATTAGACAGCTCCCACAATCTGATAGGGAAGATCTGAGTGTGACAGTCAACGGCGGAGGGAGAGAGATGGAGCGGGAAATAAGTGACAGTGGTCCAGCAAATTAGAATAATACCGAGGCTGACTATCTATTTTTTCTGTACATTGCTCTTTGCTTTTTAAAATTTATTTACTCATGTATTTATTTTACAAATTAAGAACAAATATTGAACTGTCAATTTAAAGATGTAGGCTATATATTTGATATATTCTTGGGTTACTATTACAACAGTTCATACCATTTGAATAATAACACATTATTTTTACCACTTTATTATTATTTTTATAATTATGACATACATATGTTTTATTTTATTGCTTAAATATTGGCCTCTACCTGGCATTAACTTTATTAACAGATGCCAATTTAAACATGAATGAATTCATGGCGTGAATATTTTAAATATAGTTTTAAATTAATGTTGTAGGCCTAAAAAAAGTGCTTTTAAAATATATATTTTTAAATATGCAAGATGGAGTTGGAAGAGGTTGTCATGTCTATTTCTTAATTTATCTTAAACTAGCCCTGAAGAAGACATTATTATTGATTTTTTTTTAGCAGGATTGGAAAGCCACACTTGAAATCTGTGGGTGTGGGAAGTGACTGTGGGAGTTTAAATCTTGTGAAAAAGTCTGTATAATGTTGTTAGATCAAATTTTTTCTTATATAAGCTAATTTAATGGCGATTTTTGCAGAAAGAATTTTTTGGGTTGTGGCGGACTTGCAGTGAAAAGTGGAATTAAATACCGTCACGTCCTCTTAATTAGAGATGTTGGAAGATTTATTTTTTACCTGCTTTATTTACATATTCATCATCTGATATTGTTTGTTATTTAGACTGAAAAGCCTTCCCTGCTGATGCTCAGGCCTTTTATGTTTCAGAGCTGCAGAAACAAAATGGTGGCAGATTGGAATACAATTGCGCTAACAGCCTCATATCTTACATAAGCATGCATACATTTTTTCTTAGCTTTTCAGGGTGGTTTTCTTAAATTTGCCCTTTAGATTTTTCCAGACTTCCTACATCTGCACAAGAAAATGACTAGCACTGTTTATCCCTGCTGCACGGGCAGTACTCCTTCCTGAAGTGGATTATAATGTTTTACAAGCAGATTCGTTTAAAACAAACATTTCTTACAGGACAAACAGCAGGCGCAAACCTGACTTCCTTGAGGATTTTACACATTTAAAATCATGCGCTCAAAATAACAAAAAACTAATAGCACTTCAGAGCATTTGACAGATATCAAAATGGCATGGCGTGTTTGTAGGAACAGATGCCCTGAATAGTTTTCAGGCTGAGTGTCCAGAGTAACAGAAACAGGGGTCTGGCTCCTGTTGCTCGGTTAAACAGGACCAGTGAAAGGCCCAGTTTCACACTGTAAAAAAGGCTCTGTGGCCATTTTCCTGTCAGCCCTTATCTTTATTAGCTTTCACAAACGTCTCCATCAGTTTACTCTGGACGCCGCCTCTCCACTTTCATGGCTAAGAGAGTGGTCGCGCTGTGTTTACAGGCATGGGCTTTCAGGGACAAGGAGGAGACGGCAACAGGTTTTACACTGATGTACAGTGCTTTGGGTAGTTCTCAGCCTCATTTCTTCAGAAAGATTGTTAGTTAAGATAAGTGATAATCCTGTAAAGTTACAGGACTGATAAGAACTTGTGATCAGTGTGAATCCAGTAGCTGAAACATGATATGAAAGACAAATTATATTCGGAATATGACTATAATCTGAAGGGCTGAGATGCTTTTAAATTCATCCAAGAAAAGAGCATTTTTTAATAATGTGTTTGAAGGTGGAATTACTGGATTTGTTAATCCCTCACAAATAGTTCCAGCCTCGTAAGCAGCACTCAGTACACAGTGTGTGCAGACTGGAGCTGGATGACACCCTTGAGAGTCTGAAGCTCGGAGCAGCAGGATGAGACGCAGACACAGAGGGGGGTTTATGAAGCAGTGTGACTGACAATCTGCAGTGGTTCCGTAGGTGTGAGAGACAGGAGGACATGTGACCGTCAACACAGTGACATGGATTAATACATCGTACATTTTTTACTCGCACTATCACCAGATTTTTTTCATTGGTTTCCTGTTAAAAAATCCAACCCGTCTTGTTTGAAACGTTTCCTAATCCCTGCCCTTCATGTTTTATAATTGAACTAAAACTTGCTCGCCAGGGGCTTCACTTTTACAATGTGTTACAGTACTTTACATGCATTCTCATACCAAATTGCACTCTTAGTTGCATTTTACTACAGCTATGATCGCAGTATTTTAGTGTGATTTGTTAGCTGTAATCACGGGCTGAGGTTCACATAAAATGATTATAGTTGTTGGGATGAAATGGTATACAGTAAAAATTTTTTGCAGGGTTTTGTGACTTCTAATAGTATGCTTGAAACAATAATGTGTGACTGATATGATTATTCTACAAACAAAGCTTAATTGTCACATTAAAAAAAAAAATAATAATAATCTACTCCTTCTACCTCATTATAAATTTCAGAATCTCTGGGTATGCGAATATTCATTTCTAAAGTTTTGCTGCAGGACACAAGATGTCTCCTACACTGTAAAGTCCATTCTAAAAGGTGGATGTGCACTGGGTGGCATTCAAGTTTCCTACATCACACCTGTACAAGTGACTGACTTCCTAACTATTTATGATGTCACAAATCATGCTGGTAGGCCCCGCCCCTTAAGTTCTGATTTTATAATGAGCTCAGTGAAACTTTCCACTTTCAGCAGATGAATGTGAAAACATCCTTTTAGTGTCAAACTCTGCATATACATCATTCAAACAGCACGCTGATATTGTATTGTATTGTAGTTATATTGATTATATCTAGAATAGTTGAAATCTGATTAGTGATCTTGTATTGTTGGATCTTAATATGTGTGAATGTATGGTGCTCATATTGAATATAACTTTTTAAATGATAGCGCAGTCAGGGTAAGAGCATTATTTAGAACGTGTCAACTTCATGTTCAACGGAACCAGTTTTTAATGTCTACATCCAATAATAAGACACTCTAAATACTACTTGGCTCAAGTTAATTTCCACCATCATGCGACTTTGCCAGTCGTTGGAACATGGTGGCTGGACACCCTGTCCAGTCCAAAGAAATTAACTTGTTTTTGCTTAAGAAACCTACATTCTTGGATTACAAATATAGCGACATTTTTATGTCCACATATAAAGTATTTTTTACTTTCAGTTTGGCTTATTAATGCAATTTAAGTAAGCTTTTTTTAGCCAAAAGGTGGGAAATGGCGGTTATATTCAAACACTTCAGTAGCAAACATTCCCTGAGTGGGATAGATATTTTTCTGGGCTGCAACATCAGTATTTTACCTCTACATTACTTACATTTACATTAAACAGGATGTAAAATCACTATCTGAAAATGTGGCTGGGAGAAAGGTGGAATCATTAGGTAAATTATCAGTGAGCAGGAGGGAAATGTGTTAACACAGTGATAAATTAGTTGATAGATTAAATTTGTGTTGTAAATGAAATATTGAGGGTACATTTGAGAGGTATTTAAACAAAGAGTAGTTAGGACTGCAGATCCAGGCAGTAAAATGGGACTGGAAAGAATATTGAATTATGTCAGTTAAGTTAAATACACACCTAAATACACACAAATAATCTGAATAAAATGTATCGCATGCAGGCCAGCATCATATCATCCATTTTAGCGTTGTTAATACAATGCTTCTTAACATTTTCACAGTTAGCATTCTTACATAGTTACCTAATTCATCATTTTGTCTATATTCTCAGTAAAATCAGCCTGTAAAAGATTCATGTGGAATTTTGCAATTTAGAGTTTAACAGTTCATCCTGGTACAACCCTAATAACACCTCACATTCATAGTCAACATAGTCTGGCGAGCATACCACACATAGTACATGTTGCAGGTAATGTGCATTTTACCATATCTTGATGGCAGTGAGGCAAAGATGGTAAAAGTACACATTCTTCACTCAAGTGGAGGTATAGATGCTTGTGTAAAAAGACTGGTGAAAGTACAGATTCAACTTCTTTTCTCAAGTAAAAATAAAAAAGTACAGGAGATGTTCTCAAATGATAGTCTGCCTCTCCAGTCTGTTTCATTTTGTTTTGAAACTGTAAGGAGTAGAAAGTTTCGATATTCGTGTAAAAATGTAGCGGGTAAAAGTAAAAAGTTGTCACAAAAATAAATACTCAAGTAAACAGATAAGCAGACTTAAGTACAGTAGCAACGTTATTGTACTTTGTTACTTTCAATTCTGCGGCGATTTAACCAGTGCTGCCTTTCTTCAGCTCCCCTGGTAGTATGGGATTCATAACATGTACTATTTGCACTGGAGAGTCTACAGTGAATCTGTGTGAGTGTCACATGCTATAGGTCCGATGCACAGAGGACATTTCTCTGCCCTCACAGCCACTCACTGATGAGTCTGACAGCTGAGTATTTTTCTAATCCTGCAGAGATGCTGCAGGAGAAGGTTTCAGCTGTGACGGATGAATGTATGAGCCGGGTTCAGACCGTCGGGGAGACGGATCCCCTTCCAGACCAGTCACGACTGGGCCTGTCCACAGCTCCTACCATTCCCAGCTCCAGTGAGCCCGACCAGGTACACATGGCAAAAACACCCAGTTGCTCCTTATGGCTGCCGCTTGTAGACTGTTGAAATGTGGAGGGATTATTCTCTGAATAGGTAGAACTTAATAAAATGGAATTGCATATAAATATTTTTTTTTTTTTAAATAAAATATAAATCAAAATTTGTTCAGTGGAGCAAGAAACAGTGGAAACATCTATTTACGTGTATGTTTAATGATTAATTTTTTAGGTATAAAAACAAAGACAATTATTCAATCAGCAAAAATGGAGTGGATTTTTAATTTGATATATACTGCAGATCATTTTGTATGTTGCTCTGCAGCGTGTTTATATGCCAATATTTTAAATTACATTATTTCTTTCTTATTTCTAATAGATTGCCTTGGTCTGTGTTGTGTGTAACAGTGATGTCCGCTGTCTTTCAGAACATTGAGAACATTAAGGTCGTCCTTCACGAGAGGGAGCTGTGGAAGAAGTTCCATGAGGCCGGCACAGAGATGATCATTACTAAAGCAGGCAGGTTAGTAAAGCAGCGAAAACACGTCTGTCAGTCACAGCGCAATTAGTGATCCACAAAAGTTATGTTTTGCATGTACTAGAAAGGTGTGTGTGTGTGTGTGTTGTGTTGTGTGTGTGTGTGGTGTGTGGTGTGTGTGTGTGTGTGTCCTTGTACCATAGTAGCTCATCTGTTTATCCAATTATTAACAGTTAACTTAATAATCAGATATTTTAACTAAAAATAGCAACACAACACTGTTAAACTACTCTGTTACAAATTAAAGTCCTGCACTGAATATTTTACTAAGTAAAAGTGCAGTGAGCAACAGAATTTAAAGTAAATGTACTTGCACAACGGCCCCTTTCAGAGTGTTCTATCATAATATACTTTATATAATTTTCAATTGTTGATGGAACATATTAATGCTGTAGCAGCTCAAAGTAGAGCTCATTTTAGGTATCAGTGTTGGGTAGTTTAATCTATAAAAATGCATAATTTGATATAATCCTAACATGTAAAGTAACTAGTAACTATAG